TCTGTGACTGTGTGCTTAGTTAAGTAGTTACGAGGCTGTGTGATAGGTTCCACCACCATGGCAGTACAACTTTATAACGAGGGTTATTTACAGGTACTTGTCGGACAAGTTTGGACGGAAGAGGACCAACATAATCCTCATGATGGGATCTGCTGCGTCTAGTTGTGCGATGGGCTTCTCCACTTCCTACGAGATGTTCCTCTGTTGCCAAGCTTTACTCGGTGAGTTTGTGTTCTGAAGAACTTAATATACTTTAATCTAATAACCTAAGGGGTTTGTAGGCGAGGAGTAGCGATTATTATGCGGAGTAGCTGAAACTAGATCAAGTGTCAGACAAGAAATGGGGCAGTGCTGACTGCTGAGTCGTGCTGAACTCGACTGTTGTTTATAACGTGGACTAAGCACTTGTTTTTGTCGTCATTACTAAGTGACTGCTCCCATTTCCGATGTAAAACTACAGATCTGTCTGATATCTAGTGTTAATGTGATAATACGTCTGTAAGCTGTTACATGCTGGAATCCACTGAAGTGTCGATATGAACGATAAGAGTTTGATTCTCTGCATTGTCTCAAGATAACATTGAATCTGAACAATACAAAAAATGTTGACCTTTCTTTATGGCAAATTATCGGAAACTTGAAAATAAATTATTCAATTATGTTTATCTTTTATGTGTCGTTATAAAAGAGATTGTGCTCCTTTATAATGTCTTTACAAGTAATTGATTAAGTTATTAAACAATTACTATGCCCAGGATTCACGCTAGGCGGTACCATGGTCACCAGGGTACTGTGGATGTTGGAGTTCGTCACTGAGTCTATGAGACCATACGCTTCTGCTATTTCGGTAAGTTTTTACTCCTGATAATCTACTCTAAATTCATGTTAATTTCACTGCCAGTATTTTTGATATGTGACGTGATAATTGGTCGAAACATCTGCAGTGATGTACAGGGCTGGTTGTGGTAGTTGGGTAGAATGTGGACCAGATCAGGTCTGTAAATAAAAAGGAGGGTGGCGTCGCGTGCAGAGCATTACTCTTCACTTATCAGCCGATCAGTTGAGATTAACCTGGTTACGTAAAGCAGGTTAGCTGACAGGTTACACCATTTCAGGCTCAGTTCTTCTGTTTGGGCACAGCACTGGTACCACTGGCAGATTACTATTTACAAGACTGGAGGTCCTTGGACTTTATTATCGCCGTCTATTCTGTGCTTTGTGGTAAGTGAACAAGCTATATTTACACATTCTCCGAATTCCGATCATTCAAGTAAAGTTATAATCAACATGCAGCTGATCACATACACAATGTTTCCATGCCTTAAGACGAAAACAGCAAGACACTTTGACTAACACTCGCTAACTCTCAGTTTTGATGATGTTTTGGCTGCCCGAGAGCCCACACTGGCTGGTAACAAATAACAAAACCAAAGATCTTCAAAAGACCATGCAGAGGCTGATCGACATAAACCGGTCTAAACTAGATCTCAAGGTACGTCTAAATTTATATCCACCGATATCTCCGTCTGTCAACTATTAGTATTACTCGAGCCCCCAGTCCCTGTATTCAGGATACAGGCTACTTTGTATTCCACCCACGTTCATTGATGACCGATTGGGACAAATTTGTCAATATTACCAGATTCCCGAATTTGTCAACATCTTCCCCAACAACTTGTCATGATTGTGCATAATATTTACCATCACCGATTAAATTTGTCTCAAAAGAGTCTGACTGCAGCATGAAGTAGCCCACATTACGACCCAACAGTCTCCAACATTACCCTTTCATTTCCTTCACAGTTCACACTTTAACCCACTGTACCCCTCAGGATATCAAGATTATTCCAGTCCCAGAACACAAGGAATCAGGAAACATCTGCATCATCTTCAGTGACATGAAAACCTTCGCTATTGTGATGGGGCTTATCTACCAGTGGTTCCTCACTAGTTTCCTTTATTACGGGTTCTTCCACATGGTGGGGACTCTTAACGGAACTGCTCACTGGAATATTGCTATTATGGGAATCATGGAGGTAAGACGAACACTCCAACTTTGTTTAATATACTTTAACATTGTCCCTTATCTTTTTAAAAAGGGCATTAGGCGCACCCTATTATGCAATATGCGCTTGCAGCGATGACAATATGAATGAATAGCCAAAGCACCTTTTTCAAGAGGCAAAAATTACGATACTCGAAAATGTTTATAGTCTACCAGATAAGTCTATTGGAAGTACTTAGTACTAGACAGCTTATAGACAAAAGTTTTATCTCGCTAAGGTTTCGAAAGACCTGTAATTTAACAGTTTGTCAGCACTTATTGGAATTTGTCAATAATTATTTGAAGATTATGGCTTTTTTCACAAACACTTGACAAACTACGGGTTTGAAACTCCCATAAACCAAAAACTTGACAAAATCAAGCCCTCTTTTGAGAGCTACTAGTCATGACTTATGGGTTGACTAGTCAACCCATAAGCATGAGCAGCTCAAATGAGACTGGTTCCTGCAAACTTCTTGGTCCATCGAAAACTCAAACTTGACAGCCGACAATCAACTAAATTTAAATAGATTTGAACAGTGTCATGATCAAACCGACCTGAATATTTGAGATTACTTTCAACTTCTTCTATCAAATGATTTAATAAAACCTTTTTCAGGGACCGTGTCTGATCGTAGCTGGACTAATGACGACAAAACTGGGCCGAAAAAAGACCATGTTTTCTCTGCTGATCATAGTAATCCTCACTTGTCTCCTCTCCCTAGTAAACTACCCCATCTCATCCGACTGGGACCTCAGGTACGTTCATAATCTACTCCTTAACTCACGTCAATTTGAATCACATACTTCTCCATTCGCACCACGTGCGAGCTGGCTGTATTTCTCATTCAGCCAGCAGAATTTCCGGCTGATTACTAAACCGGGGTATGATAGCGTCCAGCTCAGTAACGTGCATGTTCCCTGGTTCCCAGCTCTGCTGGAATTAGGAGTACAGTGTGTGCTCTGTGCTCGCAGGTGCCTGTCGCAAAGATGGGCCAGATATCTAACGTTTTAACTTTTTCAGGAGAATTTTCTCGTTGATTGGGTCGAAAGCCGGAAGTGGACCGATGTTCTTTGTTGTGTACATCCTTACACTTGAGGTAAGGAAATTCTTAAATTCTTATGTTATTCCGACAATTTTAGAGCTGGGATGATGTAATTTGGATCCCGATATATTGATTTACTGAATCATTTCCTGTCTACTACTAGACTCAATGCCGACTGACTCTTGATATATATAATATATATATATATATATATATTATTTCCCCGCATCATGCATATGGATTAGTAAGTTTAAAAAGGTCCAGGTCGTTAGCATTTAGTCATTGCGTCCAGTAAAGATTACAATTACATAAACAGCCATAAAGAGAACTGGAAAATGAATGACCTTTAGCTACTCGAGTTAAACAAGGGGCCTGGGACAGGCGAAGGTCCTACAATTTGTAGAATTGTCATGGAAATTTCTCACGAGATTACGTACATGGAGCTTATGGTACTTCGATAGATTACGAATTTAATGTCCACTGACCGCTTGATACTGCTCTGATAAGATACCGCCGCCCTAACTGTAAGCATGAAATTAAAATTTTGAATGGCTGCTCTCCGGAATTTGATAGATCCACATACTAATCGGGTATAATAATGGACAAATTTAATTTGATGAGGCACACAATACCATATATTGTTAGACGGCCCGTGACTCCGAGCTGACTTGCAAGGAATCGAAAAGAGCGAAAACTCCGGTCACCCTTCGCCACCTCCATGTACCTTAGGATTACATAATAGGTTTTTGTCTTTATGGTAAGAGGCCGCTTAGAAGCGCTTCATAAATCATCAGGAACCCTCACAAGTTCGCACTAAAATGGTACCCGAATCCTGTACAGATACAGATGACAACCAAACGTAAACGTATGCCCTGAAATCTGACAAGTTAAACTGACTGAATGACTAAACTAAACTCTAACTTCAAAGGACCGTCCAAACTAAACTCTTATATTTTCAGTCGATGCCCACGTCAATCCGATCTATCGGAATGTGCACGTGCTCCCTGATCGCGCGGCTCGGGGCAGCCTCACCGCCCTTCTTCTTGGACCTGTGCCAGCAGTATTACAGCAACCTCCACTACCTAGTTTACGTGGGAATGTGTCTCATAGGACTGGTTGTCACGTGGTTCCTACCAGAAACCAAAGGTGAAACTCTCAAACAGACTCTAGCCGAGGGAGGAGCTCTCAGACCCAGAACAATCCCCGAAGTAGAATCTACTCAGACCATCAATAAAATAAACTCTTCCAGTGACTGCAGCCTGGAGAATATTGAATCACCAAGGACAGATCAGAAGTCAAGCGACTTCAGAATTGTATAGATTTATTTTAAATTTAGTTTAACGTTAAAGACGTATTTAAATTATGTGCAGATTTTATTAAAATTTATTTGAGAATTTAATTGCTTTATTGAGAAAGTTTAATTTGATGTAGACTTTATAGCTGTCGGCACACTGTAGGGCTGACAGCGCCATGTAAATATTTTCAAGTCTGGACGAGCTGAGATACATTTTAACTCTGAATTCTTAGATTTTACCTAACTTTTAGATTTTATTTATTTACCTCAGAGTAGCTTAATGTTTAATTTTGAGTAACAAACTAGATTTCAATAGTTTTAGAGAAACATCGCTTCAAGGCAATTACAAATGAGAACTTTTTCCCTTCCTTCCTTCCTTCCTTCCCATATCAAAAAGCTTTTTGTGGACCATGGTTTATCACTGATGAATACCTCATTTCTATTTTCTAAACTCCCGAGCTTAACCAGTTTCCTGAAGCCGCTGATCTAATTAATTAATTATACCATTTCTGAACGATGTGATAATTATCTCATTTGGTGTGAGTTAGTCGGGTTTGTTTTTTGTGTTATTGTTTTTATTGATTTGATTTTTACAAACACAGATATGATCTCCGAATTATTTTCGTCAAGAATTAAAAATAGCCGTTCTAAAAACAGAGTCAAGAATCAAGATAGAAATCGTTTGAAGCAGACAAAATGTATTATAAATCTGTCATCGGGCATTAAGTTCAGTCTTTACGGCTCAGATTTTCTCTAAAACACCGACATCTAATGTCGAGCATGCACCAGACCTTGAAAACAAGCTGGCTAATGTGTGGCAATTAGTTTGACATATTGGTGGTTACTGGACTATACAATGTCTGATTACGCCAAACTATGCCTTTGCCTCTCAAATAAACAACGTCCTTCTCAAACATCTCAGGTTTTGTCATCAGTAAATTTGGACATGGGGTCGCTGGCCATGTGCTTCCTTAACTTCCAGGCCTCCATCTCCTCCTCCGTAGGTCCTTTATCCACCGCCATGGAGTTGTATTTCCGTTTCCGTTCGTCTAGTCCCTCAGCAAGTTCTGCCGCCTCCTTACTGTCTAGCTGTTCAAGTACCTGCGACAGGGTGTAGTCAGCACTAAATCTAGTGTAACACTCCAGTGATCTCAGACTTAATGTCGCCGTTATATGGATTAAGGAAAATCAGCAGAACACTGCGGTCACCACTATAACTATAGGCCTCCAACTAACCGTGCAATTGCACTGCGAACTGTTAACACAGTTACAATGGGGTCATCTTAGAAAAATTATTAAGTTTAAGTCGTTTTTTCTACTCCAAAATGAAGTTAAATCAAGGTCTGCCAGACTCTTGCCGGAAGAAAATTATACTGGTAAATAAGTAATTAAGTATGTAAATCTATACAAAACGCTAGCTATAACACAGTATCGAGAATAACAATACCTTCTTGAGTCTCTCCTCTCTGGCTTGGGGATTCTCTCTATCCTCCAGGGTCTTCTGCTTCTTCTGTTTCCTGACATCCACCATCTTCTCCTGGTGCATCTGTGCGGCGTACGTGTTACGTAACAATTACAGGAGTAGTCTCTATACTTAGAAGTTGCAGGAGGATTAAAGTAACCGGCTGAACAAGGTATGCAGACAAATTCCGACTAATGACCAAAACTGACTACCTTACTCGGGATTATTATAACCGGGATAAAGTGGTGGGTTTTGGAAGATTCCGCCATATTTTTCCCGGTCAAAAATTTTACCAGTCATAAAAAAACCCGCCGACTCAGATTATGGGGTTCCAAGGAGGTGGTGATCATCATATTTTACCTGAAGTCTCATATGTGCTAGAGAAGACTTTTGAAGCAGTGGATGGAGGGCTGTAACTTTATTGGCGGTTGCTACCCTAATTTCGTTATAAAAATCACAATTTGGTTATAGAAATCAGATTTCAGGGTGGACCGTTATTCTCACTTCTCTTGCCCATGAAGTGAGTAAACTGTGCCACTATTTCATGGTCCACGGTGGATTGATTACTGGAGCAGTTGAATATGCAAAGCCAAGGCGTTCCCCAATACCAAGCGGTGGGCAGGAAATTAAGCTCCGGCTGACCTTTAGAGCAGTAGCCCCATTAGCGGACAAAATGAAAGTCTTGTTAAGACAACAATACAACTTCGAATTTGACGGTCAGCAGCAGGGGGATATCAATAATGATAATGGAGGGGACATTAGCGATAATGAGAATGAGAATACGCTTTAATGAAGATTTTACTTATTATTGCTATAGATTTATTTTCCTTTAAATACTAGACGTGTCTTTTTTTCTATTTATGAGTAATATCAGTAACTGTAAATTGAAATAACTTCTTTAACAAGTAACAAAAACAGAAATTTCGGTTGAAAATTTGTTGACCTCTGAAAAAAAACTTGAAAGGTCGGCCACCGGTAAATACATGACCGGGATAATTTGGCGGGTTTTGGGAAAGTCCGCCATATTTTTCCCGGTTATTAATTTTCCCATTCATAAATTAACCCGCTATAATATTCCCGAGTAAGGTAATGACCAAAACAGACTAATGACTTTCTAATTCTTAACAAGGACGGAGCAGGTGCGATCATAACATGAGCCAGGAAGTCAGGGCACTGCAGCTCTATGATCTGACGAGTAGGGTCATGTCAAAATTATTGAGGGGTTTAAGGTACTTATATCTAAAAGGGGCCGAGTTCTATCAAGATTATTGATGGGTTCCGGTAATAACCTCTATTGAGGGCCGGGTCCTTTTAACATTGTTGGTAGCCATGGTAGGTTTAGTACTTACCAATGTATCAAGAGGAACCGGGTTATATCAAAATTGTTAGTGAGTTTAAGTGCTAACCTCTCAGAGGGGCCGGGTCCTATCAACAATGAACGGGGACTATCAAGTATCAACATTGAATTGTGACTATCAAAATTGTTTACTTACCTCTATCAAGGACCGGGTCCTATCAACATTGCTGGTAGGCTTAGGTTCAGCAGGAGCAAGCTGAGGAGTATCAGCCCCAGATCTGCTGGCAGCCCCCACACAGTACGCTTGTTTCTGAACAGCACGGCAGCACTTGTAGCCCCATTTGCCGCTCTGGAAGAAGGAGCCGTACACTGATGTGTGGCCGTTAACGTACACGTCCTCCTGGTATTTGGATTTTGGTACCACTCTCTCCTGACCTGAACAGTGGAACAGGTATTCAATTTAGAGGTTGTAAAAACTTGGAAATTCGTTTAACAAGTCACATCGATTGAGGTTTACAGCTCGTAAGTTTTCCAGTAATTCAAAAATTACTGTTAAAAATTGAAGTTGGTATCCGTGGTATTCTTTCTTGGGACACCTATTTTCGAACGTCCTGACAGACTTCTGGACTTCATTCAAAAGAAGTCGTATTATATCATATAGGTACAATATGAAAGTATGTTGAATGTTGATGAGTGGCCAGGGTTGTGAAGCAGACAACTAGAAATACCGTTAGTTTGCCCACTTTAAATTAAGCACATAGGGATGGTGCCCTAATATTGGGGGGTTATTAATTAAAGTAAAACTCTGTTAAAAGGGTATGTGGAGCGGAGTGGTACTACTAAAGATGAGCCCTGAGTCTGCGACAGATAACGGCTGGACTTGAGATGGAGGTTTGGTGATTACAGACTTGTCCATGTGTCCAGACTTGATGGAGTGGTCGGTGCGAGGCGATATTATTGATAGTGGTGCTTTTTGTGTTATCGTTGATTGAAAAATCAATTAAATGTTAAATTAATCTCCTCTGAGTTAAGAGTTGGCGAGGCATTTTACCAGGACATAAGCGACAGATTCCTTTTTTATATTCGCGCTTAAGACAGATGTCTGAGGAAATATTTTGTGTGGTGTATATTAGTCTGATTATGTTGAGGGGTTTCTTGATTCCCTCGTACTTCTGGGTAATAATACTCATGTTTGACTCAATTCACTTTGTGATTACTTTAGAACAGAAATTTGTACTGCATGAGTTTTATACACATACTCTTTATATTATATGGCATTAATTTATAGGATCGCATCAGTCATCCAGAGAATAGAAATTCCATTTGATGAAGAAAGCCTGAAAAGTATAAATTATTGAAATTAATTATTCAATGAAAGCGAAGTGTCCATAACGTGTTAAGCGTCCCTTAGTGTCTTCAATGCTTTAACGATACCAGCAGCATAACATACTTATAATATGGTGCTTTCCTTAGCTTCGGGTGTCTTAAAGTAAGCAAACGCTTGTGATATCTAGTCTTTTGCCTCGAACGATGCATTTCTAAAGAAGAGCATCGAAAAACGAGAAGGAAGTTTTCTCTGATACTCTGAGCAATACAGATTCTGAATCTAAGACTAAGAGCAATGATGAGTCTGAAGACGCAATAAACATGGTTTTATGATTTGACGGAGTCCAGTAACTTTTGTCCACTTTATTAATAAAGTCGCGTTTTACAGCAAATGATTTGTTTTTCTTCTTTCTAAAGAATAGAAAATTTGTAAGACATAATATAATGTATAGCTCATATATTTTAAACGATGTAACAATTTATACGAATGACCAAAATTAAATTCGTACAAATCTGTATAAATATAGTGGACTAAGATAATCTGGCTTTTGACAAAGAATTGCGGTATAGGGTAAGTCAGAGTGGCTTCGCAAAACGTGCCTTGATTTGTCAGCTCTTTAGCCTTTTCATTACAGTAGTAAGTCGAGTGCCTACAATAGAATTGGAAATCCAGCAGATTTCCAATTCTATATAAATTCTGTGTTATTAATAGATTTGATAGATCCTAATGGTCCTAATTGCACTTGAGAGCCTGTAGGAAGGAAATACTTCCTCGGAAATTGGTTAAACAGGTCATATTATAGAGTATGTCTTTTGGGTAATAAGTTTTCCAGTAATTCAACAATTACTGTTAAAAACTAGCGCAGGCATCCCTGGTATTTTTTCCTGGGACAGGGAGCTTAAATAACTGCTTTAATAACTGCCACATATTTTCCAGAATTCCTGATTTAAAATGGTAAGAAGTCATACTACACAATAGCATCCTAATGAGCGAGGTGCGGTGACCGGGGTTCACTTCAGAAACAGACACCAGATAGACTGGTTGTTGCTCGGTAAATGAAGTTGACTGGAACTGCCTGTACCATGGCAGTTTAAATAGAATCATTATATTTAACTCTAGATCACGTGCCACAGTTATAAGATTTCACAGGTTGCTACCACATGGTCCGCAGAGAGGGAACAGCACACGACCTTATCTGACATACTGTCGTAAGTTTAGGTCGGAGGTGTGGGTGCGCAGGTGACAATTGAAGTGACGATGGAATAAGAAAACTCTTTCATTGTTGTGACTCTCCAAAAATATGATCTTGTTGAGCGTTAGTTTCCAACAATAACAGTTACATATTGTTACTGTATTATTGTATTCTTCCCCTTCCTGATAACTGACATTGTCTCCATTTGGATACGGCAAACTGAGACATTGTCAATTAACACTAATAATAAAGTAATCCTTCTTACAAATGCAGACAGGAATTAACAGATAAGGGGATTGTTAAAAAACCAGTCTCTGATTGCCGGACTGATTTTGTCCCAAATGACCGGCAGAAACTTATTTAAGGTCACATATGTCATGCTGTGATCCCACCTTTATACCTGAGTGAAGTCACTGTCGCCATAATCTAAGGTTTCTCACTCCGATTAGGGGCAGTCGTTATTGTGGCTGGTCTAAATGACAATGTTATTGACCGACTGCTGATAAAACCAACATTCCTGAACCTCAGTCTTAGGTTCTTACTTAGACGGTATAATACAGCATATAACCTAGGTTTACATTGTTAAAACAACTCATGACCTGAACAGTTGGTAAGGTATCTGGATATGAGAGTTGACAGTGAGGGACAGTGGGGTGATTGAATGAAGTATTAAAGTTGCAAATTAAAGTTTCTAAATAAAGTTTCGAATTAAAGTTTAGACAGGGACGCTAAATATATAAATTAAATATGACACCTTGGCGTTGTGTTGCCCCCTTACTTCAGATCGCGTGATAATAATAGATTTCCTCTGCTTCTACAGCGAGGTAACAAAATATTACTCAAGTGTACCCGCTTGAAAAGATTAACAAGTACTCTGACCTCTAGAGTCTAGGTAAGTGCTATCCACACTCCACAATACCTTACCTTTGATACCTTTGATCTGCTTCGTCGAAAATCGACAGGCCATCAGAGTTGCTGACCACCCCAGACTCAGAGAGCAGATGCCTCTCGATCGTTACGCCAGTCCAGTATAGAATTGGAGTTCGGTGATGTGAAGCCCCGGATTGGCGGTTTATCCGGCAAGAAAAGCATGAATGCCGTCATATGATGCTTGAAGCCATCATGCTTGGAGACTGCACGTATGTGCCAAGGTATACAGTTCCAGAGTCTGGGACCCATTACACCAAATGATGTTTCATATAGAGTCTGGTGAGCAGCTGAGCTTTTTGTACGGACAGCTGGAACCTTAGCAAAACTTTCTACAATTTTAAAATTTTGAATAACCTTATCATACCTTTAGGCCATTTGATGTTTAAAATGGACCTGAGGTGTCTACGATGGAGTGTGTCCATTTTCTCCATGGTTGCTTTCTTAGGACTCCAACTATTTGAGTTGTAAATCAATACAGATACAACTTGAGCATCGTATAACCTCAGCTTTCTTTCAAGGGATATGTTCTTACCAGACAGCCAAACTTTTTCAAAGTTCTTAAAAGCAATCTCAGCTAGGATTCTTCTTCTTTGAATGTCCTTCTCAGTACACAGTAAGGAACCTAGTGACTTGTTACTTCGCCATGGTTCGTTATTAGCTAATGGCTGACCGTTTGTATCTTTATCAGATTTTTTCGCTAGGTAGAAGGTACTGAATTCAGTTTTACTTTCATTTACTTGGAGGTTCCAGTCTTTGAGAATCTCCTTTGCTGTAGGAAGGAAAATTCTCAGTTTCTCGATGTCCTCGTCAGCAAAGTCACAATCGTCTGAATATTGCCACTCAGTTGGAAAACCTAGTTCTGATACTGGTGGGTTTGGTCTCCCAGATACAGCTCTGAGGTGGTGTAAGGCTGCTGCAAGAATAAGTGTGAATAGCTTTCCAGATAAACTGTCACCTTGAAGGGCTCCGAGTAAACTTTCAAACTCTTCCGACAGTGAGGAGTTAACACGAACTCTAAGGAGAGTGTTCGATAGAAGGTATTGAACTAAACGAATGTCGTCCTCCGAACAACCAGCATCTTTCAAAACATTGATGATAGTGTCCCTTTTCACGGTATCAAAAGCTTTACTCATATCAATACCCATTTTGCTAAATGTCCATTTCTTCCTCATCACAACAGATATGAGCATTCTCTGAGCCCACACAATGTCAGAGCAGCTCCTACCTCTCTTGTAAGCACTCTGCCATGGCATGGTGTAGTTGTCAAGTCTACTCTCAACTCGTTTTAAGGCAATTTGAGTGAGCATCTTCCTCGATCCGTTTAACAGTGTAAGTGGTCTAAGGCTTGTGAGGGGACCCTTAGGTTTACCGGGCTTCTGTAGAGGAGTCACAATACCTTGCCCTATCGAACTTATGTATTTGTTCCCACTAAATGACTCGTTAATTGCCTCAGCATACTTCTCAAAAGTGATTGGATGGGCGTACTTTATCAGCTCATTCTGGAGATTATCTGGACCACTGGCACGGTTTGATTTGAGTTTACTTGCAGCAAGTTTAACTTCAACTGGTGTGATGGGGTTATCAAGTGGTTTTGGATCGCAGGTAAAAGGTTGCAGGCCAGCTTCAACTCCTTCTGTTAGTTGTTTTTCGAAGAAAGATTTCGCTGTGTTTGCTTTCCCTAAATCAGTACCAATAGGGTTGTTGTTGATATCATTGACCACTATGTTACCCGACTTTCTTATTCCAGCTAAAGATCTTGAAGCTTCAAACATCTTTCTAGCATCGTCAGTGTTATTTATTTCTTCCGCTAGAGCGTCAGCCTTCATGTTATTTATTTGCACAAGTCTCTTAGAAATGCTATTCTGAATCTTTCTAACTTCTCTCCTATCTCCACTAACATCACTACCATTTGGGGCTGATTTGATCTTCAGAGTCTGATCACGCTTTTTAGCAACTAATGAAGCTACTGTTAGATCACTGGAGAAATTTTGTTTAGAGGATTTCCCTTTCAGTGGTATAGTTTCTTCAGCACACGCACGTATGTCACTAAAAAGTTCATTCATTTTCTCATTTGGGTCATCTGGATAAGTTTTACCCGATAATCTTTCAGCAATCGCACTTTGATATTTCTGTCTGAGTTCTTTATCACTGTAGAGAGTTGAACAGTCAAACTGAGTGCTATCTGATTTTTTGGTTTTGTGAATGAGAACATGATTTTTCAGCGTTAATCGAGTTACAACAGGTTTGTGATCAGATCGTAACTCAGCGCCTCCGTATGATCTGCTGTCCTTTATTAAAACCGTAGACCTCCTCCTGCAAAGCACATAGTCAAGTTGAGCGTATATAGGAGTATTTCTCTTAGTCCTGTGTTCACCAGTCCAAGTTAGTTTGTGCCTACTTGGATGATCAAACAAAGTATTGCATGCTGTTAGGTCTTCTTTAACCATAAATTCAAGCAAATGCTCCCCATTTTCATTTCTAGTCCCAATACCATGTCTATCTATCAAACCTTCCAGACCTAATTGTTCATCAACCCTAGTTCGTTTACCCAGCTTTGAGTTGAAATCTCCGCAGTGGAACATTTCCCATTTTGATGGAGTAGAGGATACATTGTGTAAATCTCTATAGAACTGAGACAGTTTGTCAGGGTGTTGTTGAGCACGAAGAGATGTGAGACCATAACTGTTGATGATTCTGTAATTCTTATTACTACCACCCTTGAGAGGAAAACAAAAATCAATATACCCAACTCTATCAGAGATCTGTTTGAAAGTTGTGATGAAAGGTTGCAGTTTAGGGCTAATAACAAATCCAATACCCCCATGACATTGTTCTTTCTGATAAAAAATTAACAGTCTGTAGTTGTTGTGAAGTATGATATCCACCTGATTAGTGCACTTAGTTTCTTGTAGTCCCACAATGTCCATACCGTACCTTTTGCAGTCATTACCCAGTAACTCCCTCTTCAAAAGTCGTTCAGACCGAGTTTTATCATTAACCGCAGTGTCTGGACTACCCAAGCCCCTAACATTCCAAGAACAAACAGCGAAAACAAATAGCACAGCACACAGTGTTGATCCCATCTTGATTTTGGGCGTAGACTCTCCAGCCATAGCTGTATGTGGGTCGTCACTCCTACATTCGTCACTCCTACATTCTACATTAATATTTTTATCTATTTATGTAAAAAAATCCCCATGGAAAACTGAAGAAACAATTACACTGATCATTTATAGATTTTATAAGTGAATTTCAGTGCAAGTGCTACCCACTCATCTCTTTGAAATGATAAATAAATATAAGTTGCATAAATTAATTGATATTACTCAAAGTTACATTTATATTTTATATAGATAAGGTCATTTATAAATGAACTGAAAACGTTGATTTCGTCCCAGTATCTCTTCTATTTTTAGATTCTTGGTAATAAATTTTGAAAATGCAGTTTACTTGACGTTTACAATGCTATCAAATTAAAAAACCTACAAAGTTTGTGTAGCCTTGCGGCTTGCACCACACGTGTAGCCTTGCACCACTTACTCAGCTCTTGTATGTCATGTAGTGGTACGTTATGAACCCCAGGCCGTGCTTGCCAGCACTGCTATGATGCAATATTTGTGTTGCAGACCATTAGTAGGCTACAGCTCCAATTATTTGGCGGAATTAGAATTAACAATTTTATACAATATTCATTTTGATTTATATATTTATGTATTTCGATATATTCATTGATTCATGTAAAGTCAATCCCCATGTCATAGTGTAGAATAAATTACGTTTAACACTGATCTATTCATAGATGAACAATAAGTTAAATTCAACGCTAACTAATGAGGCTTCATTAAATCATTATCAGTATAATCATGACTTTACAGTTCCAAGTTAAACCCCCACTTATCGGTATGTAAATTCCGCCGTGCTGATTAACAAGCCCGTTAGTAAATCACATACAATTAAGTAGGAGCAGGTAGATAGCAAAAATCATGATCATGATCTAACGATACGCACTATGTTTACAGAACTAATTCCTATTGCAACAATTTTTGCAATATTATCTAATCGGATAAATTGTTTCAATTTTATTACAATATTAACGAGAATCGGGGGAGCCGCGAATACCTACATGACATTGACCTAATTTGCGGTGGCTATTATAGTGGAACCATTCAGAATTGGCAGTTGAGATATTTGATAATTATAATAAGGGACCTCACGGTATTTCAACTCGGAAACCTATAACCTTATCTAACCTACAGCTCTTCCTGCTCGGCAGTGGGCGGTTTCCAACATACTCCTCCAGAAAAGTATGTTGTTCACCGCAGACATCTTCACCGCTTCATTTTTAATATAAAGTACCCAGGAGCCATCTCCAACTAAACGCTGCAAAGCTGATCTGGGGTCAGAAAATGTGGACCGTAGTCGGTGGAGAATGTTAGGACATGTTTTGCGGGTTTAACGTTTACCTCCTCTATTCTGTTTATTTGTGCTGTGTGAATGACTTATGTTTACATAAATCATTTACATAAATCATTTACAAACGAAATATATTTTCATATTTTTAATATTTTTGATCTCCACTATCTCCGTAGAATGTAGCGTATGACTAGATATATTGGCAGAAACTACAGTAAAGTCGTGACATTTAGCTATTTATTTCAGGGAAAGATTAGACATGAGCGTTGTTTTTAACTACCCCTTAGAATTTTAGAACTTTTATTCAATAATACAACCTTTTAAAAAAGAGCACGTGTTTTTCTTTGTCACAACAACGTGGTGTTCAGAATTTTGAACACTAATTCTAAATGAAACTCTATAAAAAGTTTCCTATTATATATATATATATATATATATATATATAAATTCATGATGCACTATAAACTTGATTTGCGACAGAAATTTTAGACAATTTATCTGCTTACGTGTAATTTCAAACTCTTATCAGTTACCATGTCTTTTATCTAATTTTTATCAGCAGATTTATAAATCTGCTGTTCATTTGTAGTTTTTACCATGCCAGTTTTGAGTAAATTTTTGCCTTCCATCAATTGAGTGCAGCTTTCAGTTTCAAAATTTTCAGTTTATTCAGATTTTTCGTTTTCAATATTGCAAATTTTTAATAAATCATGTTCAGATTATGGTGATAATGGATGTAAAGGTACTTCAACCGAATTAACAATCCAACCGTGTGTATGACGTGTCCCAGTAGCCAATCATAATATATATATATATATATCCGATAATTATAAATAGAAAAAAGTATTAGTAGTAAATAAAAGTACCCTTGATAATTTTGCCGGTTCTGGAATACTCCACGTACTCCTCAGTGGTAGCGAGTAGTAACTCCCGCGGTGGCGCCTTCAGATGCTCCTCACCTCCATACTTATCTACTATTGAGTTGCTGACCTGGCGAGGAGAATTAGTCAATTAAAAATAATGAGTAATTCAGTCAGTTAGTCAGTCAAGAGTTTTGATAAGTCATAAGACTAGGAGTTCGATATTTGATTAAGATGGCGGAAAAATTCAATTTGTTGGAGCTTTACTGTTTGATAATCTGCAATACATCTGAAACAATTCATTTCGATGACTTCATCTCAAAGACATCCTGGTAAAATTACAACCAAATTTTCAGGATCATTTGGTAAGTGGTGATATGTCCGGTAGGTTTAATTCTGGTTCCTTACTTTGACAGTGACACCCACAAAACCTTTAATCTGCTATCTTATATTTCTAGATTGAAATTATTTATAATCCTAAGTATTTAAAATCCTAATTACCGATTTAAATTTAATGTATGTGTTTGATGTTCCTGTTCGACTAAATAAAAATGAGGTATGTAGTATGCATATTTTGTGCCTATTATGTGTAGAATTAGAAGCTCATCGAGTAAATGAGCATTATAATACAAGGGGTTGGGTCAAGATACTAAAATTTACCAATTCATTGGTATCTTCCTTTGATCCCTTTACGACGGTAATTCAAACATGAATATCTGCTCCATATTTGAGAATTCCGACACAATTTCTCCTAATTTGGGTATTGGTGATGAGAACTCTAAAGCCACGAACGAGTTGTTAAAAGCTTTGCAGTAGAAGTTGAAGTGAATTTCAACAGACTGTGTCGAGATTGTCAACATGTTGTCTTGGGACTCCCATGAAATGGCGCTGTAACGAGGAGCGAAGTAGTATGTCTAGCTGTCTACAATGTCTACTAACTGCTCTGCTGCTGCTCTAGGTAAGACTTCCCATTATATAATACTACAAACCAGCTCATTTAAATACAGCTATATTCGCGGAAATTTAACGTTAGGTATGCTCTAATTTCATTTCATCATCTAGCTCTCTGGAAAATAAAATTATTTGACGTTTCAACTATAGTACAGATAAGTCTCCTTCTTACAGACGTGGTGTTCATGTACAACTACTAGAGGTTAGGTCGTAAATTGCAAAAATAGAAAGTGTCACATAAACGTGATTAGAAATATGGGTTCGTAAATGCGAGGGAAGTGTCAATAAGTTTTGTAATGAACAATGAATCTCCATAACCTGTCAATAACCTTGTCATTTAAAGTAATTTAGAGCATATTAAGGACTCACCTCACTTTTAAACTCGTCCTTACGTTTCGAGTATTCTTTGTGGAGAAGAGCCGCTTTGGTGGGTTCAGCCTGAAATATAAGTTTTAGCGAAAGATCTGTGTAGGGCACAAGAAAGATTTAATATATTATAACGAACGCGTCGTTAATCCTCGAACGACGCCTATCATTAATTAATTGTCAGACAAGACGATCCCACAGTAATCAGAATCTCGACTGATATTCAATTATTGACTTGACTAGACACAAATAAATTGTCCGTAAAGTCGTATTTGTAACTGTGTTTGTATAGCCACTTTCGGTAAATAAAAGAATAAATAACTAAATTATGATGAGGAATAATTAAGGGAAAAATATGTTGTATTCTAAATATTCTAAATAACGAAGATTTACCGTGTACCAACTAACCACCCACCTCAAACCCTTTTTATCATTAGCCGTCTTTAAATGTCCACACGCACGATAAACTAACATAATGTGAAAGGGGACAAGAGGAAAGATAAGAAAATAACAGAAAATTAAATATTCAGCTGAATATATTTACTCAGAAACTTAAAACATGATTATAGTCTATGAGTTCAGATGATGCTCGTCCAACGTGTGCTGACATCAAGAAAGATCCAGAACCATCCAGCATATAAGAGAACCCAGATACAATCACCTTTAAAGTCTTGGTCACGTAATAATTTCATGTCATCGTAATGCCAACATTTGCACTACTATAAGTGGTTGTTATAGTGGACTGCTGGGTAAGTTTTGAACGAAAGGGCTGAGCTTGAGATTTACAGTTTTAGCAACTGTGATATTCACTACTACTTGTACCCCAATACCATGTCGACACACGCAATAAATGTGATGAGAAGTAACACTGATGCAAAAGTTCAAACAGCGCCGAAAAGTCGGTTGTTCAATCAATACACCAATTATTTGCTTTGTTTCACCGATTGTCCTTTGAAATGGAGATGTAGGGAGCTGCGTACGTGAATAACCGGTTCTTGGGGTTTAAAAAACATTTTAAACCCCATTTTACGGCAGGAATCTCACGATATTTCAATCAACATATTTACTTCAAATTATTGATAATGCGGTATAAATATATTATATATGGATAAACTAGACCTGCTTGAGCCAGAGGAACGGCCCAATTTGGTATAAAACACCATGGGATTTTCATGGGATTTATCTAATTCCCCAGAATAATTTTATTCTGTCGGTTATCTAATTATTGAATTATTGAGTTATTGAGTTGAATATCAGTGCTATTATTCGCCTCCCTTTAACCTGAATCAAAATAAATTTTTTTCATTCAAAAAGTTATAAGTTATTATAAGAGAAAGGAAGGCACTTGCTTTTTCCCCTGGAAAGGGCAAGTGTTGATAAGAGCGGTGCATTTCTTTGTCGCAACAACGTGATTATTAGAATTTACAGTTACTAGCAGGAATCCGTCTATCTCTAAAGTGGTGCCAAGAAACAACGATATTTATTTATTTTGTGATTTTGACACTACCTGGGGAGTGGGGGTTCAATTTTTGGAACCTTAATTATTTATTCCTTGGACAATTTTTAATTTTTTCATACTGGTCAAAAGGCTGTAAAAGAATTCTACCCCAGCCAAAAAAGTTTCAATGTATAGCTCAAATGACTTTTTAATGAAATAAAAAAGAGTTTCGATAGATCCCAAAATCTTATAATATTATATAATATTTTTTCATCTTTTTTCAGTTCATAATTTGAGGGAGAGATCTGATTTCAATGAAAGTTTCCATTTTGATATTTTGTGTTCTACATCCCCAGATAATATTAGAAAGTCAGAACAGTTTTATATTAACAAATTGAAGACACTTTATCCGTTTGGCCTGAACAATGTGAATTCCGTTTCTGGAAGCTAATTTTCATGGTGTCCCGAATTTTATTTTTAAATCGTCCATTTTTTGTTTATATATGCAGTCTATCAATTTTTGAATTGCATCTTTTTGATTTAATGAACTACTGCAGACTCCACATTATTATAGTATATGCCATTAATTTTGTTCCGATTTTAAACTATTCCATTTTGACGAGATGCTAAATTAATTTTTTGAGACTTTACTACATTTTTGATGAGAATTTTTGACATTTTCAAACTAACCATTGATATTCTCAGATTATGTGACCGATTAAATGCTGAAGATAAAAGAAATATATTCATTTTGCTAAGATTATGTTTGCGTTTCATTGCTCAACAGCTGTTCGAAGGATCAAATTTAAGATTATATAATATTTTACATATATAATATATTATATTATATTATATTATGTAAAATCCGGATTGGAGTATTGTTTATGAGTCGCATTGTTGTAATTTTTTTAATAAGAGCATTTTTACTTGTCGCAGTAACCGGGATAAAGATAATTTTACACAGAATACATATTATATTACATATATATATATTATATTATATTATTGATAGCGCATACTTTTAACGCTGTATACCGTTTTCATCATTCATGGCATTTTCCAGCAGAAAAATTGTAAATTTAGCTTGCAAAGATCAAGAAAAAAAGGCCGATTTTACCGGTTATATATATTAGGCTCTGGTTTAACTATTTACAGACTTACATCCATAAAAGGTAGACTACAATCTATTTCCATACTTCTTGACTCCGGAAACCTGCAATCAAGAGCCGTTTGCTTTAAGTATGTGTCGAACTTGGGTGTGTGTCAAACTAGAGTACCAGTAATGAGGGCAATGATTTCTAAAACAGCCGCCATATGTTTGGAGCTTATGCTAAGTATGTATTAAGATTTACTATGAGAGAAAATTATATGAAGTTCTACAAAAGCTGGTAACTCCGCAGATCGAATGATACCTTTTTATATTGATTGTCGAGCAGTCGGGCCAATGGACTTGCTCAAAATGAAATCAACAAGCTGTCATAAGACAGTCATAGCTGTGTCAAAAAATCAAGAATCTAACAAAAGAGCAGTCTTCAAAGCAAAACATTTTGGAAATTCTATGAATATTTTATGGAAATATTTTAGGAGCGAATGCAGTGGATATGCTGAGGAATCTGCTCCCGAAGCATCACTAGTTACTTAGTAACTTAGTAGAATTTTCTGGCACCCTTCCAATTAAAATATGTACTGCCACCAAGCACAATAATCCAAGAGAATCTCCCTAACGCGTTTGATGATACAAGCCAAGTTTTCTGAGTTCATGCGTGAAGATATTTGAAGATCAAACGCGCTGGTCGTAGAGCATCATATAATACACAATCTCACTCCGTCACCTTTGATATTCAGTATTTTAACTAGTGTGAACCCTGTAAATCAGGTAAAAAAGAGAGTGGCAGATGATTAGCAATTAAATGTGTTCAGTTGATAAACCCAAAGAGCTACATTTCACGAAACTGAAATGATGTGCTCATGGCAATTTACTTTATGTGCCGTGCCATTGATAAACCCAACGTTGCTAATCTAGCTGTCTGCACAATTCGCAAATTTAGCAATTCAAAAGCTATCCTATTGATTGTACGTGAACTAGTTTAAAACATATATATTTAAAATATAGTTTGTATATCATAAACCAGTTTTAAAATCTATTTCTAAACCTAAAAATATAATTCCCAAATTTCTCGATCTGCATGCTTTGGTTGCCGCAATTATACCGATAGGTCACTAGATATCACATAGGAGGTTTCGTTCAGACTTTTAATAGGCTTACAATCTGTGAACCTTTATATAGTTGGCACACCACCCAACTTCATGTTAAATCTCAGGAATGCCCACACCAAGCACCACCCTATCCCACCCCCGCATTCCAGCGAACTATTTGCGTGCCTTTTGAGTGAGATAACGGACGACTGACCTGCAAGTGTACGTTAGATCCACGCTCTCCAGCGTCCCAGGCAAACAGCTGTAGTTTGGCGATCTCTTTTACTTGTCCTGTTGATCGTACAAAGTTCTCCCCAGCAAATGATAACCTGTTAAATACGAGACAGTTTGTTAAAATTTTGCGACACATTTTAAATTCCAGGAAACGCAAGAAATAGGAAATACTAAAATCTACAGCAGTATGGCATCTTACTCAGAGGGTTTCTTGTGTGCTAGATCTTTGAGGGGGTTGTCTCTCATCGAGCGTGACTTGGGATCGTAATGCGCGGAGTTCGCATCGAGGTTTATCAGGTACTGCGGGAGATTTGGGTTAGAAAGCTGTTAGAAAACATTTTGATGTGCAGTCTGAAGGGTATCATCGCGCCAGTAAACAATATCGATATTAGTAGTATCACACATTTGACATTCAAGCTAATGGTAACACTACATATGTGAGAAATGGTGGAAGGCGACAAATACTTTGTCTAGATGAAAAATATTTTGTCTAGATGAACCAGAATAACCAATAAAATAGCCATTTTAGATAATATTTCGCTCCATGATGTGGCTAAGACCAGGTTGACGCTACAAAGGACTACACCTGCTTAAATAATATCGATAATAGTGTCACACAGTTGGAATTCAAGCTAATGGTAACACTGTATATGTGAGAAATGGTGAAAGGCGACAAATATTTTGTCTAGATGAAAAATATTTTGTCTAGATGAACCAGAATAACCAATAAAATAGCCATTTTAGATAATATTTCGCTCCATGATGTGGCTAAGACCAGGTTGGCGCTACAAAGGGCTACACCTGCTTAAATAATATCGATAATAGTGTCACACAGTTGGAATTCAAGCTAATGGTAACACTGTATATGTGAGAAATGGTGAAAGGCGACAAATATTTTGTCTAGATGAAAAATATTTTGTCTAGATGAACCAGAATAACCAATAAAATAGCCATTTTAGATAATATTTCGCTCCATGATGCGGCTAAGACCAGGTTGAAGCTACAAAGGACTAAACCTGCTTAAATTCCGCTTAAAACGCTAGTGTTACTTCTCATACTCCTAAACTACGGAAAATTTCGGTGGATTTCGGCCCGTTTCTTTTATTTCATAGGTAATCCATGCCTTGATTACCGCAACAGCACTCGTAAGATTGAAGCTTGTGCCCAGTAATTACAAAGCTTTTAATGTGAGAGAAAATGACAGAAAGATCAAAAACTGACAAATTTCAGGACATCGAATGATCATTTTTGATCTCACCTGTCGAGTCAAGAGTGCAAAACATAGCAATAACGCCAAAATGCTGTCAAAATACAGTCATAGTTGTGGTATAGAAAGCCTGTATTAAATAGCAAAGCATAATCTCTATGGAAATTCTGTAAATTTGTTATGGATATTCTTTAGGAGTGGAGACAACCAAGGAATCTGCTCCGAATCATCACTCGTCAGTCGTCACCTCTGTGATTAGCTGACAATTAATCAGCAGAATAATATACTGCCATTATGGGAGCGACAGGCCTGCAGTAGGCGACCGACATACGTATACTAGAGCCTCACCAGAGAGATTTCAGAATGTAATGCTGTTCATTCATTTTATTATTATTACGTATTCTAAGACGTAATGCTAATGACCATTATTATTATGATATATAATCGTATAAAAATCAAAAATAGAACATAAATGAACATCTTAAAGATCTGAGAAGTAGCCTGAACAAATTAAATACGGATACAAATACTAAAACAACTTCTTCCATCCTGCTCTATTAGAGACTAATATATTTTAATGGCCATTAAAATTTCCTAAAATCTTTTGAATGTCTTCAAACTTCCCAGCTTAATTTTTACGGTTCACCTTCCTCGAAAACCTGCGTCATCTCAGTACATGGTTGTTCTGTGCCATCAATCTTAACCTAACTACCCAACAGTGCAATCGGTCTCAATTCAGTCTATTTCATTTTATTCCTTGACGTATCACCTCCTGACGTATAATCCCCTGACGTATTAACTTTTGATTATTGACGTATATTAAACTCGTATGGTACTACAGGAAATTGGAATAAGAACGTAATTATATTTTGTATTCGATTAATATCACGGTATATCAAGTAAAATCCATTGCTACTTGGAGTGGTAAGTCCCCAGAAATAGTTTTAAATGTAGTTTTACCAGTTATTTACAGTAATTTTCAGGGTTATATATTAGTGCTACAACAAACCTCTAAAAATTATCCAATTTGGACCGAATTACGGTAAGCTAACGGCAAAGTAGTAAAATTATCCCCCTGTCCCCGCCCCTTTAATTCGACATTGATTTTCACTTCCAAGACCCAGAGCTGTCAATAAGTAATCGAGTCCCGAAGTGGCTTCATGATTATTTTTGTAAGAGTAAACAAAAACAACGCTGATTATGTATAGAAAATTGCTGTACAGTACTACTGAGCTCATTTCTAAGAAATCATTCATCGTATAATCCTTTAATGACAGGACTCGATGGACATTTTGATTAAGACTTAAGAGACATTTAAGTATCTAATTCCGATTGAACAAATTAATCACTGATCAGCGAGGACTTGAAATAATCTCTGAATGGCAACATTACTCGCGAAAGAACTTAGCGTTAAATACTCTGTTATTAAAGTAGCTGAGCTCAATATAAAGAACTAGAAACTCGCCTAGTCGGAAGCTTTGTTCGAGGAAATTTTAAAAATCAGTTATGTTTAATTTCATTTCATCATATACAATATATAATAGCTCTGTTATACTGTAGAAATCATGGATTTTATTTGACAATGACGACAAAGTTGTAAGTATTCAGATTCCCTAAACGATACTTTCTACCGCATCGACAAATATCAATCACAAACAAGGTTATGAATATAGTCATAGCGTGTGCGTAAATGTGAGCTAGTTATGACGTATCATAAAGCATGGCAACGTGCGTTGCTAATCTGTTCTTGCTCGCGGACGTGCAATCGGGGGGTATCCAATGGTGAAAAATGGTGTGAAATGGTGAACAATGGTGAATGATTTTTATGGTGAATCGGGTTTCCAAATTGTAAAATTTCACCATTTTTAACCATTTTTTCGATGAATATATTTGCCTTCTAGTTTTAGTTTTGACCTGGTGTTATCACTCCAAAAAAATTGTTGGTTATTAACTCAGATTTTGAGGATATAAAGAAACAATTAAACATAACATCATTATTTATTATTTAAAAAAAAATACTTGGTCCATTTATTGATGTTTCATTTACCACAGCAGTTTCCTTTTCAGAGTTTGAGTTTATATTTAGAAACTAACCATACTATCTTTTAGATTTTTGTCACTTATGATGGCTCCGGCTGAAAGTACTATGACTCATTTTATTTAGAAGATCGTAGTTTCATTGCTTCTGAAGTAGCTATCAGTTCGCCGGTCATTGTTGGGTATAATACTCTTGTGATTAACCGTTTTGGACAACCTGGCGCTTATGGTTCTGGAGCCCGATTTTTCTCTAGACAATGGGAAGACCCAACCCATTGTGAATCAAAATGATGAAAGCCACCTCTTAGAGAACTCTCAAACAGGAGAAAAAACGGTCTTCCAGAAACTTCAGTTGCTAAAAATGAAACTGAAATTCTTGAGAAACTGCGTGAAATTGAAACGACCACCACCATCCCTGCGGGTTAAAGGAGCCCCTACTATCCCTGATGCATCTAAACTTAAACATTTTTCTGTACTAGAGACACTGATGTTAGGAGAGGCCATCAGAAACAAACTGAATGAAATCAAACACATGACCTCTGTTTTTAAGGCTGGTGCACACGAAAAAATCCCGTTAGTCCCCTCTGAGGTTAAAAGAACCAAGGAGAAACACCAAAACAAACTTGATTTCCACAGACAACAAGAGGAAACTGAGTGGAAGAGGTGGCCAAGAAAAACATTAGAAACTCTTCGACTCATTGAGGGAAATAAGAAACGTGTGAATTTTAAGAACCGACAGCAGATAAACAGAAGACGAACTGAGAAAGAAGCCAAAAGACTCATTAAGGATGGAAGTTTTGTCATCCTTTAGAATGAACCTGTCCCACCCGGGGCTGTGTGTGTACTTGGAAAAGGGTTGGGATTTGTACCTACACCCCCTCTTGATGTTGAAGGAACAAGATTGGACATGCGTTTAACAACAAACAGGATCCTTCAGTCTTCAAATCAGTCACTAAACAGCAATGACCAGTTTGAAACCCCGAACCTGCCCCAAATACCACCTAAACTCTACCAAAAATCATACTATTCATCACAGTCATCAGATGACAGTAGTGTTAATGATATTGTGAAGAGTATGGAGGCGGACCTTGACCAGAGATTGACCATTCAGAAAACTACAAGAGGCGACACAAAGAAGAACTTGTCAAAGGAAGAAACTGAGGGCCTAAAATAGCTTGAGTGCATGAACGATGAGGGAAAACTATCCGTTGTTCAAGCTGATAAAGGAGGTGCAGTGATTATTATCAACCCAGAGACACTAAGAAAGAAGACACTTGAGAAGCTCCAAAACCCGAATATCTATACTGAACTGAAGGAAGATATCACCCAAACATTACACCATGAGTTATTCCTCAAATGGGTTGAAGGTAAAGAGAAAGGTTTTATCCATCCGATGACTACAAAAAGTGTCATGGGTGTTTCTGATAATGATAGCACAAAAGAGGGGAAAGATAAGACCAATGCAAAGAGCACTTCTTCACATTTCAAGCCAGGAAAAGCCTACTTTTACCCGAGTTTGAAGATTCACAAATTGAAGAGAAAAGACCTTGTGCCCGGCATAGAGCCCCCTGTAAGACTAGTCACTGCACTACAGGAAGGAATAGCAAAAAGGAGTGACGTCTTCTTGGCCAGTGAGTACTTCAAAAACCTTGAAAAGGACTATTGCGAAGACTTACTGACTGACTCAACGGAGGCACTGAGATGGCTTGAAGTATGTAATAAGGTTGAAACAGACAAACGAGCCCTCCGAGCTTTCACTTTCGACTTCAAAGCTCTCTACGACTCAGGACACCAGCACTCTGTGATTGGCTGGTCGACCTCGTTGATATCAGTCTAAGATCCTCTATTGGATGCTTTGAAGACAAGTGGTACATCCAAAAGAACGGAGTGCCTACAGGTGGAAGTCTGTGTGTGCAGTTGGCCAACATAACTGTATTTTATGTAATGAACAAATGCGTTTACAGTAACACTGACATGATGAAGAGAGTTAGGACTGTAAGACGGTACATTGACGATGGTGCAGGTTTCTTCTACAGCACTGAAAGGAAATTTGACC